TTACGATATCTAAGACACTGTAAGCCTAGCAATGGGATAAGTGTTATCTGTTTTTCTTTCCATGTATAACACACACCCTGTCTTGCCTTTGTACAGTATCAACCGCCTCCCGGTTAGCTCAATGGATAGAGCGCTGGACTGTTGTGCGGGAGGTCGAGGGTTCGAGCCCCGACAGGACCAACACTCAGGGTCTTAAAATAATTGAGAAGAATTTGCTGCCTTTCTATAACATCAAGATCAAGAAATGGTTAGATATTCTCGGATAGGGAAGAATAAATGAAGGTTCGTCTCCTGCAGGGTTGGGGTAGGAGATGTTCATTTCCCACACATGAGATTACTGTGTGATGGTTGTCCTCCCCTGGGGTGGGATGGGTGGGTCTATTGGGCCCGCAGTGATTGGTGCAAGCCGTTGCGGTGTCCCTGCCGGTTGGCGAAGCTAAATAAATCTAAAAAAAAAAAATAATAATTCCACTTCCTTTCACCACAGCTCTCACTCCTTTTTCAGAGAAAAATAAATGACTTGAAACCTACTGATATATTAACCACAGATCCTATACTGTCACTCAGAAATATTTCAAGGAGCTACATTATACATTGCAACATGCATTGCTTATAATGATACAAGAATACAAGATCACTCTCCTTACACATCAACATGTCTGACTTACTGAGCACAAACAGTTGCTTTAATCTTTTTGCTTTTTATTGCTACAAATGATGGAGGCTCAATGGTCACTTCAAACTTTGGCAGCACTGTAAGTAGAAGAAGTTATGGCAAGTTACAAGTTTAATAGTACAGTGGTGAGTAAGAAAGGGGGTTGTCTGTATAATTGCAACATTTCAGTGCATAAAAACAGTTGATCATTTGTGAACATTCACGTTTGGCATAACCTTGCCAACAGAGGTCCCTTCAATCTTCCTAGGATAGTTGGGAAGAGTCTTCCCAACTTTTCTAGGAAGATCGAAGGGTTTTCTGCCCGCAGGGTAGTTTGCCACATTAATCTGCACCCGAAAAACTATCAAGGTTATTAATATTAATAATTATTGTCTATCATAAAGACACTCATTTGGTGTTTTGTGAGAATCAAACTCTGAGTGAAATTCAAACAAAACTACATTAGATTTCATGAAGTGAGAAACATATTTTCAATAGCCTCACTAGCAAGGACACTGATGATACCACTTCCTGCTTTTTCATGGTTGTTTGAGCCAACTGTTAATCAAAAGCAGCTGGCAAAATATTCATAACACCCTGATATAAACACCTGTTATGAAACAGTTTTTTCTTTATGTTCTGTGTATGAACGGATAGATGGCATACATATATGTTAGCCAATCAGAACTTCACAATCACTTTACAAAATTAGACAGTACAATCTTATTATATTTGTTCATGAAAAGATGTACCATACTTATCCACGGAAAAGACAAGTGTTTCTTTTTCACCCTTAGATAAAAGAAAGATTTTGTTAAAAACATCGAAGTACTATTATCTCAGTAATATCAAATTGACAGACTATGGGCTGAACAAAGCTCTTTAATTGGTCAGTCAAGGTGAATCCCTTATACTATACAACGGTTCACAAACCAAGAGGCACAAGCAAAGAAGAATGAGCCCTTTATTGTGCAGTGCATGTACTTAGAGCAAACCTCAATAGTCCTGTTCCTAAAACTAAACTGAAAACATTTAGTTCTCAGCACCTCTTCAATAATTAACTCAGTTAACTCTTCATAGGTCCAATCTTTGGCAAGTCAACAATAGGGATATGGCCCAATGTTTTTGTTCTCATTTTTTAATGCTTTGTTTTGTTATGCTCTAAGCATTGAGAGCACAAGCCATGCATGGACATGTAACAATTCAAATTTTTCATTTTCCCATGATATTTTTCTAGGACTGAATTTCCTTTTCATGACCTTCTAACAATAATCATTTTTTTCATGACCTGTAATAGATAAGTAGATAAGTAAATCACAGTATTTCTTTCTTCACTGCTTTTACAAAAATTCAATTCAATTCAATGACTTTCCATTCCTGAAAAATGAGATCATGAAAATTAAAAAACTTTTAATTGCGAATTTTTTCAAACCCACATCAGCCCTGGGTTATACCTTAACCTTGGCCTCAATCTTCCAGTCACCGAGAAGAGGCTGGCTTGATAAAGGAAACTTTAAACTGACAATTCCTATGGTATGAATAAAATAGGGCATTGCATTAATGTTTTCATTTTTAAGGAATAGAAGAAACTGAAGTCTTATCTGTAACACTTCATGCATGAACAAAAAGCCTACATGAGTGATAAGGAAATGGTCCTCATGCCATGTATCTATGCTTTTTAAGTAAGTTTGGCTTATACATGGAACTATGATTATTCTGTATAAAAGACAGAAAAAGCACTCAATGACTGACTCACCACTAACAAAATCCACATTGTCCCATTGCATTGTGCGTACTTTACCAGGACTCTAAAAAAATTATCAACACCCAGCAACTGAGTGTTGTAGAAAGCAACGTGTATGCTATGTTCAGAGATAGGTAAGCTGTACCTCAAGTTTGGCCATTCTTTATCCAATTTCGGATAAAGAGCTTTTGAAAAGAAATTACAGGTGGAGTCTTGAAAAAATGCTTCACTTTGGTTACTTCAGTGAATGAACACGAGTGCAAAGTCACTACCAGTCACATTGAAATTGGAAAATACTTTGAATCCTTAAATATACTTTTAGCTGTAATAGTATCAAAGTCATCTATAATTACATTAACGTTTGATCTTACTCTGGTATTGTTCATATAGTATTTTGGTCAGATTTTAACAGGTTTTCACATAAAACAACAGGAAAGCTTTTGTTTGTTCATTAGCTCATTCATATCTTAGTAACCAGGCATTTGATCCGTAGAAAAGGTACTGAACACAAGAAGCTTTTAAAGCATAATTTTCGTGACGGTGCATGGCAATGTTCCTTATTAAGTAGTGTTTACCTGCCTGAAGAAGCTAAGCAACCTTTAACCAATTAAAAGGTTTTAATGCCACTAAACAACAAGAAAGTGTTTTAAATTATAACCATCATCCAGATGTTCTCCTAGATAAGCCCCACTCCTGGCCTGATTTGCTGCAAAAATTTCAGGGGAAAAGGTGCAGCTAATATGCCAGTGTTTACAGTACTTCATTTTCATTACAACAAAAGAAGATGACATTTCCAAGGGCATTTATACGATGGAATCTTCCAATAACAAGAATATAGTTATTGACTATAAACTATTGAATGCCACATAATTTTACTTACGGTGATGGAAACTCTTTTGACCTGCAGAGAAATAGCACATGAGGATATAAAATAACAATTCTATGCAAGATACATATGTTCTGCTACACTGCTGTGTAATCATTCAACTATTCAAAAGAAGTGTTCTGCTACCATAGCATTTTGCAACAGAATTTACCAAAAAAGTCAAAAAAAGACCAATTTAAATTAGTCAGAGCTGACCTGTCCTTAAGGTTTTCATCCACACCAACAATACGCATATTCACTTAAAGAAACAAAAGGCAAATAAAGTTTCATTAATGAAAACTGGAAGCATCTTGCAAAAAGTTTACTTTTGCTAGCAGATGGCTCAGAAGGAAAAGTCTACAAGAAAGTCACTGTTGCTAATCTTTTCTTTTACAAAAGAATTGACATTAAAATCTGTCATTAAATTTTTGTTGGGGTACTGAAACACAGTTTTGGCCCCAAGGGGAAGGGAANGTTCGGTGTAGTAATTCTTGCTGATGGATGCTACATAGAATACTAACACATCTTCATGTGACTACTACTCACCGACAGCATCCAACCCACACATGTCCTTTGTGATCTTGTACATTACTGTAGCGGAAAGATCTGTAAGAAAAGTGGACAATCAGATCTTAAACTGGCTAACTGAAATGACATACCATGTTAGAGCTCTTTCATTTGGGTGTCATTAAATCTAAACAACAGCCAATCAGGAGAAAGGAAAATACCACAAATAGCCAAGGAGTACTTAGAGTGAAAACAAGCATGCTGCCTCAAGCGCGGGAAAACCCCATTGACTTGGTCGATTGGTTTTAGTTTTGCATCTGATTAGTTGAGAGTGGCACGAGTTTTCTGGACAAATAACACATCAAAACACAAAACCAAAGCAACCCCGGATTGCTTTCGACACACGAATGGAAATTTCTCCAGAAAAAGTACCGGTCAAAGAAAGGACTATAGTGTGTGTGTGCGCGTGCGTGCGAGTGTGTGCGCACGCAATGGTAACCTCTCAATCGAACTGCTTAGAGGAACGACTGTTTTGAGGTTAAAAATTATATGGGCGTATTACGATCAAATGTTTTCAACCGATGGGACTGAAAAATCATTCTATCTTCAGAAAGACTCTGAATGTTGTTTAAGTAAACGTGAAGACCGAATGCCGACTTGATTGTGTAACCTTATCGACCGAATAAAGGTAGTCCTGTAAAAGGACTGTTATCAATGGCAGCGACTGTCGTTTCGACAGGCTGATTGGAAGTTCTCATCAGAGTATAGTGAGGAGTTGTTCGTCTCTAAAGCTTTAAAAGTCTGGTTCTTGAAAAGGGATTGGTCAGTCTGCTGTGATACTTAATACTGTGAGAATCAATTACTGTGGGTCTGTTCTGATTGGTCGGTTTCGGTCCGTTGGTAAGGTCAGGTCGTTCTGGCACCTCTTTATGTGTAAAAGTAGTGAAAGAGTCGTTTGTGAGGTGCTGGTGGTTCCAGAAATCTTTCGAGAAACACCTGTTCTGATCCTCGTTTTCGTTATAAGTGGTTGACTAATTCGCAAACGTTGTCTTTCAAAAGCGTTGAAGCTAGCTTCACAACGGCCATCAGTAACGAAATCATCCAAGATGCCTATCCACAGAAACTAAACTGAGGTTATTAGGGTTTTAAAGCTGCGCAGATTGGCCCTTAGGATCACTTAACTGATAAGCACCTATTTTTCATACCTCGTCAAAGTACATGATCACGTGTTGACCTTCCATCTCGTATCGCTTGAGGCCAAGCTTGGGTTGATTCGAAAGCTAAAAATATAATGTGGAAAATAAACATTACAAAAGCCATCAACGTGCATGTGAAATCTTACACAAATATCTGCTAATAACCAGAGAACACATATCATGATTAAGCTGTAATGCAGATACAATAAGCGTAAGTTGACCCTCTAGCCTAGTCACGTGATTAGCACCTAATGAGAATAGACCAACAAACTGGCAGCTGAAAGAAGGAACTAAAATTCAGATCGTGACAACTAAAGGGTTTCATAACTTGGCGTGAATTTCTTTCTAGAAAAGTCAACTTCTATATCAGTGACTGATGAGATTGCTTTCATGTTCTCAAGATTTTCCACAAGGTGTTTTTCCTTTCAAAGCCAATATTTCCAGTCTCCTCATTGCCCTACTGTTGCCTCTCGAATCATCTTCCGGATCACAAGTGAGGAAGTTCGCGCTCTCTGCGTTCGTTCTCACGCGCTCGCTTCAGGTGCTTCCCTTCTAGAACTAGAAACAAGAAAACACGCCATAGGACAGACTTACAATTCCACACCATTGTTGGAAAGTGTCGTCTTACCTTTTCTAAGCTTTCTTCATCAACCTGATAACCGGACACGAGTTTGACATCGATGACCGCCATATTGGATGTATCTTCTCTCAGCCACCTAAACCAAAGAAGTAGCAAAGCCATGAACACCATTACAAACTTGCCTCAACTCAAAAATTACTTTTCTGTCCTAACAGAAGACGCTCCCAACATGACATACCATGTTAGAGCTCTTTCATTTGGGTGTCATTAAATCTAAA